CACACACACACACACACACACACACACACACACACACACACATATTAAGGGCTCCGTCTTTGTTTAAATTGGCAAGCTGCAAAAGTGAAATAAATCTCGACTTTGCTCTTAGCAGTTTTGAACATATAATACATTTCACAATGCAAAAAAACCCTCACAATGGATTGTTTTCAGTGTGGAAATATTCAACAATAATGTGTCAGTCAGTCAAATGACAGAATTATTGCCTTGGGGAGCTTTTCTTCCAGGATATTAAGCTTCATATGCGACTTTCTTTCCCCTAGCAGCAGTGGTTAACTTTGTAATTTGCACCTGGCAGAAATGGCAAATATTGATATTAAACCACCCCCTCCCACAAAAAAGGCTCAAGATGTAAGATATGGTAAGCTTTATTGGCATCTCTTTGACAAATATGCAGAAAAGAATCGAAACAAGGAGATGGAGAAGATGAAGAGCAGTGCTTGTAGTTTCTAATGGCAAACTGTGCGAGGCAAGAGATTGCAGAGGGAAAAAATACCCTTTTAAAGAAAATAATGTGATATTGGAGCTGTTATTGGAGAGGGGGGCTTGGGACAAAGTCACCGCTTTCTTGGGGTCAGCGTTGACTTAATGAAGTTGAATATCAGTCGAATAATTCTAAGCGATCACATTAAATGATTTCATTCAAAGAGTTTGCTAAGAATCGTTCAAATGTCTGGAGATTAGTTGAAAGTGGCTTTGTGGTGATTGACTTTGAGGGAAGCCAAAGAGATAAGTGAGGGAGGGGGAGGTGGGGGGGAGGCAAAAATGTGAGGAAAAGAAATTGATGGAAATCAAAAAAAAAGTCAAATGAAGGGGTTGAGAAAGGGCGGGGAGGACGTGATAAGTCAAAGGGGTGGACGCAGCCGCATGGATGCACGGACAGTTTAAAGAAAGAAAGAAAAGGAAGGAAGGATGTCTCACCGTGGCAGGGAATTGTACTGTCTCTGTGCTTGTGGGAAATCATCTCTGCCCTCTTGCTGCTGTTTCTGGACCTGAGTCTCAACCGTTACAGAATGGCGTCCACTTGATGTCTCCGTCCCATTGCTGGCCTGTTAAACCCACAAATACAGTCAGCACAGACACAGTGAATACACAGTAACAAAGAGAGGACCAAAGGCAAGCATTTAAGCTAGGGATGCAACGATACCAATTTTTTCAAACCGATACGATACCGATACTTGGATCTGAGTACTTGCCG